ACCTATTCTGAACATCTCCTGCACCAGAAGGGATTGAGCTATGTGGAAATCTGGCTCCTCCAGGGCCCACAGGACAAGGGTACAGCACAGCTTCAAAGGTGATATAGCAGAGAAATACAGAGCCAGTGCTTTGCGCTGTGAAAAAGAGCAGTAGTCTGGATCCAGCAGCATTTCAGACCTGGAAATGCCTATGAGGGCCCCCCTGGAAGCTGTGGATTATCTCAGGATAGAGGCAGCCCCGCTCTCACCCAGCTCATCGGATCACAGGGTGCAGATGGACCCGGTGCCCACAGGCGAGAGAAGCACACAGTCCCTGCAGCATGGGGCTGCTTCTCCTTGGCGGAGCACCACCCTTCCCGCTGCCCTGCCCGCTTTGTCAGCCTGTTTCACAGTATTAAAATCAAGCACGCAAGTTCAAGACCAAGGGTAACATCACCACAAACAGAAGCAGGGTCCACTTTGCTGTGCCACGGTGGCGAGGTGCAGACAGCTCATCTCCTCCTGGGCCCTTGGGCTCTGGCTGCCCTTTGATTCCTCCTGGGGGGGAAGAAAAGGAGCCAGCTCCAACCTGTGGAAAGACATGGCCCCATCCCTCTTGTGCCAGGCTGTCGAGTGAAGGAGCAGAGAGAAACCTGAACCATGCACAGCAGCTCAGACAGAAACCTCACCGGGATGTGACCTCTTCCCAGATTAAGGCCAACATCATTATCAGCCAAGATCATCCCGAGGAGGCCAGGAGATAAGGCAGTGGGTGGGTACAAGGCTTCCCTGGCCAAACACACTGGAAGAAGCCCACCTCCTTCACCACAAAGGAAGATGCCTCAGGTACTGGAGGAAGGCTTTGCTGCCCGGGAATTACTGAACCTGATGCTACTTGCAGGACTGGAGCCACCTTCCCAGCAGTAGCAGCTTGGGATGATGAGGGATCCCCCCTCCTGCCCCACTGTCTGGGTCAGTGCCCAGAGACTCCACCATGTGCAGGCACTGAGAGGGTCTCCTGTCCCACCCCAGGGGAGCCCAGCCCATGCACACACCCACCCCACCTTGCCCTGGCCCTGATTTTCACAAAGGGAAACCCAGAGACAAGAGCAGGACGTGAGCCGGGCGTGTTCCAGCAGATCCCAGTGGGTCCCCATGTCATGCTGGGGCAGGTCCCAGTGCAGCTCGGTCCAATTCCCAGCAATAAGGAGGTGGGGTCATTGCTGGGCACATTCCTCTGTTACGTTGTTGATTAAACACACACATCCCCTATTCAGGGCACTGGGCGTAACAGAGCTGGGACGCAGCACCACAGCTCCGCTGCCCTGAGCACAGCCTTCCAGCAGCACTCTGAGGAGCCAAGGCATGACGCAGGGCAGAGCCATCCTCGCCGTTTTGCAGGAGGAGGAACCGTCCTGCGAGGACAGAGAGGATTAGGCCCTGCTCTGCTGAGACCGGTGCTCACCATGCACCAGAGACCAAGGTTTGCACCCAAATTCAGCCCAGCCTGGCACAACGTGCTTTTCCTGAGGGTTTTCACCACTGTCTCCAGAGGCACAGCTCACCTGCAGATCAAAACATCTGCAGGAGCAGCAGCATGGCGTCCAGGCTGAGGCTGGAACATGATCCCAGTGTCCCACTCAGACCCGCCTGACCTCTCCTGCGGAGCTGGACTAGCCCTGCTGGGCCCAGCTCAGAGCTCCCTGCACCCACAGCGCAGCCCGTCGCACTGGGACCTGCTGGGGAGGAGCGGAGGGAAGCGTGCCAAGCCCCATCCAGAACAACTCCCCTGTACACCCCTTCCTGCAGGACTTCTCTCGAGGAAATTCCACACCGAGCAGGCTGCCCTGCTCTTGTGAGGGGGTCACTGAGCAGAGCAATGCAGATTCAGCTAAGTGTAAGCCCAGCTGTGGGCAGTTAACACTGTCTCTATTCAAACCCACTTTTTGAACAAGGACCAGGAGACACATGGGCTGACACCTCTGATTTTATCTCTGCAGGGCAGGACCCAGAGAGCCAAGGCTTGTGCAGTTTTACACGTATGCAAAGTTCTGCAGCCCCAAACCCATGGTGCTTTCCCACCTCTTCCTCCCAGGAAGGGCTGTGCTGGGAGCAGATTTCCATCCTCACAGGCTGCTCCAGCAGTGAAGGAGCTAGATCAGGTGTCACACCCTGTCCCATGGCCAAGCTCTGTCTAAAAGTTGCAGAGTCACTGCATTATGGAAGAGTAGCAATGATCCCAAATGAAACCTCTGGCCAGGGTGTTGTACACACACCTGGCAGCTGCGACCAGCAGGAACAAGCTTCCCCAGCCCCAGCGAGACTCTGCGCGCTTGGGGTTTAGCTGCACGTGTTGCGCTGGGGGTGCTGAGCTGCCCTCCAGACCCCAGCATAAGCCAGGTAATTAGATTACAAGCGCTCAGCCAGACGTTGGCACCCGGGCTGCTACTGGACAGAGGGGAGCCCAGGACAGCGTGTCCCAGCAGGGCCGAGAGGCCACAGGCCAGCACCACGCACCCCACCTTCACTGCAACGGCACACTAAAGAAAGGGAGAACGCTTCTGCCAAACCCGACCTTCTTAGAGAACTTTGGTTGGGACCGAGCAGCGGAAAACAGCAGCATGGTATTGCCCCCCTCCGACTCTTTCTAACATCGCAGCCTCAGCTCATGAGCAGGGTGCTGTCACAGCGGGAGAACCCCCATCTCCCCAGGGTCCCCAGCCCAGCTCCGCTGCCCAGGGCGGGCAGGCCCCAAGGGGATTTGCGAGCTCCCAGCTCCCGCTCTCACACCGTGCCTCACCTCTCCGCAGCGTGCCACCCTCTGGAGCCTGTTTTTTCCTCCCCAGGGATCCACAGGATCAGCTTTGTGCTTTTTCAGGGGTTTTGACGGAGCTCTCAGCCCTTCACCATGCAGCCATTCGGGGTGGGACTGGGGGCAGAGGGATGGGAGCGGGGCTGGCCAGCTGCTGCAGGGGCACAGGAGGCACTGCACGGGACAGGTCACACATGGGGAGAGGTTCCCCGTGGGCCCCTCAGTGCCGGGGGAGAGGGCATTGCCGCTGTCTGAAACCCCACCACATCAGGGATCTAGTGCTGTGTTATTCCACCAGCTGCAACCAAGCCATCCTGCTCAGGCTGTAGCATGGCAGTGCCAGAGCTGAAGGGGGTCCTTGGTCTTCCCAGCAGCACCCATGGGCCAGGGCTAAGGAGTCCATTGTTGTCACCCACCTGCATCTCCATCCCAGTCCAGATGTTTGGATCTATGCCCAAATCCAGGTGTTACAGAGCAGCACAGACCCAGAGGCAGCAGCAAGGTCCAACCAAGAGCACAGACCATAAGGCAACATCACAGCGATGAGGCAGGTCCCAGGTCAAACGGGGAAGTCAGTCCACCCGTCATGGCTAGGATCAGGTTCAGTAGCACCAGGCAGGTCCATAGGGATGGGGCAGGGCTGACCCCAAGCCAGGAAGACAGTCAGCAGGTTGAGGTCAGGACCAAGGGCCCTGTAGCCAGGTCCTGCTGCAGCTGAGCTAGAGCCCAGCACTCTTCCAGCTCAGGTCAGGAAGAGCCTGGTGCCCTGGGCTGAGTTTAAATAGAGTTCCTGGGCCCACCAGGTGAGGCTGCTCAGGGCCAGTAAATCCCGTTAGTGTTCCCAGGGCTCTGACAGCTGCAGTGACCCATCCTGCAAAGCAAAGCTGGGGGATTCCCTCCATCCGCTGCCACCCCAACCCAGGGCGCAGCAAGACCCTGCAGGGCCCCCGAACCTGGCAGGCAGCAGGGTTTGGTCCTGGCACTGGTCCATCCCCGCTACTGCTCCACGCTACCTCTCAGTGGGTTTCACAGGTACAGGAGCTATTTTCATGCCCAGAGAGCAGTAACTTCAACTGTCCTCCCTGGTCCCAGCTCAAGGCTGCCATCCCAGGATGCCCAGATCACCCAGTTTGCAATGCCAGCTAGGGTCTGGCTGATCCCAAGTGATCACAGCACTGACACGTGGGGTCCTGGTCCCAGGAGTTGTTCTCTCCTCAAACCGGGCTTGCGGACCACCAGCAGAAATGTCCACACCAGGGGCTATCGCATCGGATGCTGTTAAAAGGAGAAATAGCAGGAAGGGAGGGAGGCAGGTGAAGGGGAGCAGAAGCAGAGGGAGCAGGGGAACAGCCGGGCGCTCCCACCCACCTCCCCAGTGCTGGCTCCCCGCAGGGACGGTGCTGCTGGGGCATACAGGGGGCTGCCTGGCTGCTGCCCCGGCGAACGGGGG